GGTCAAGTTGGTAATTACATCCAATCTGTTGGAGATAATATGGTGATTAACTGTGATAAATTGGTGGACATAACAAACATGCTGCTGTCTGTTGCAAAACCGAGATTCACATTGACTACTTAGGTTCAGAATCCGCCCAGAACCTCATGGATTTGAAACAGGAATTCAGAAAGTCATCCACAAAAAAACTGCAGGATGGCGATTTAACTGATGACGTAGGTGCTCACCAGCCTTGTACTTATATGCAAACATGACTCGAATGCAACTAGTTGAGTCAGATCACCTATTGCAAAGAGATTTGTTGCAGAAGAACTTTGCTAATTGGTGCAAACTGACTTGGGTTGATTGCAACATGTTGGTACTCTTGGCAGCCCGTCTGTGTTTCTGAATTGGGTGGCAAACCTTTGCCAATCTATCTGAGAGTGATTACAGTCAGTCTAACCCGGACCATCATTGTTTGGAAAGAGTTTGTTTCTCACCAGATGAACTGTGAAATCACCCTGTGACTGAAAGTTATAGAAAGCTTACCGCCTTTAACAACAATACGTAAAAGTTTGGGAACCGGGAAGACCAGTTGCCTTTTGGGAGAGAAAAGTTGTCCCATTCTGATTGTATAGAAAATTTAGCTGCTTAACAAGCCAGAGTCTTTCTCTGTTGTATTCTTTATTTTATGACGTGCCAAATATTTTCAGCAGTTGGTTGAAGGTCTGGGCTGCAGATAGGCCACTCTAGCACTGTCACTCATCTACTATGAAGGCATGCTGTTGTACTAGATGCAATAAAGGGATTTGGATTGTCTTGCAGAAATATGCAGGCCTTCTCAGATAAAGACATCTGAGCAGGAAGATATGTTCTCCTAAAACTGCTTATACCTTTTAGGATCGATGGTGCCTTTCAAGATAAGCAACCTTCCAATTCCATAGGCATAATGCACCTCCATATCTTCAGATGTTGATGTTATGTACTGTATCTGATGAGATATTCAAAGTTTTCACAATTTTACGTTAATGAACATCATATGATAATTGTTTGACAGTTTGTGGACACTTATTTTAAGTTTCTGAAAATCTCTGCCTCCTTTTTTTATATCATATCATGTTACTGATCTGTTGTCAGTGAACCTAATTAGTAGCAAAACGTTCATCTGGTTGTTTCTTTGCAGTGATGCGTACTGCATTCTGTTTTTCTTTTCACTGCTTCCCAACGTTTTCATAATTGTGGTTGTACTTTTGCAGGTATGGATTTTGTTCTTTTGACCCATTGAATTTCTCTAAAGTCAAATGAATATGTGAACAACGTTGCTTTGCATAATTTGAGATACAAAGATTCTATCTGCTTCTGGAAGGAAGGAGTTCCTGAACCTATTTGGCAAATGGTCTTTCCACTCTCTTGAATTAGGTCCTCTAACTCTCACCTTTGCCTAAGTAAACAAAAATGTGTACTGAAAAATATATAATGAAACAGAATAACAATGTTATCACATAATGCTAGAGCGAGTCTGAGATGACATGCTGATTAAGCTGCAGCGAGCATGGTAACAAAATGAGCTGTTGCTTACTGCTGAGCGTGCTATCAGTTTATCAACTCTGTGGTGGATCCTTAGCTGTTGTTACTTTGCTCACAATGCTTTCTTTGTAGAAGGTCCTGCTACTTCTGATTGTCTTTAGTCCAAATGTACTGGTGTCTAGTTCAAAATCCGATCGAGCCCATATGTTTTTAAATGGGATATACATAATAAAACTGCTTTGCTCAAGTACATAGTGGATTGCTAGTGGTTTGCTTACAGAAGGTCCATGATGGCATACCAGTTTACTGCATACCAGTCTTTACACTTTAAGTAACTGTTTGTTTTTCGCTTTGAGGTAAAAAGAGAACACAGAAAATCTTAAGTATAAGTGATGGCGTTTAAGGGAAGGCTCACGAAAAGCTCAGTGGCATGACAGATCGTTGACACTGTCAGACATCATTAAAGGAAAAATAACAGGGTGTTTAAATCCAAATACGTCAGTACCACGCTCAAGTTGCTAATGCGGTGCTGTATATTCTCAGCTGTGGCGCAGGGCTGCAGAACGAAAGAAGAGAACTAATACTAAGAAGTAGGTTAAACGGGGGATTTCACCATTTAGTTGTGTTTTTCGTGAGCTGAACGGTTAACATGACCAGCCGTGTCTTCTTAAGAGCTCTCACTGCTTACATGTAGGTAAGCAGTGAGGCCATGTCATAGCTGGAGTTTAGCTGAGATCGAAGTATTTACACCAAACAGTTTTTAAAACACAGATTAAGAGATGTGGCTCTGATGAACCAAAGAACAGTGATGCAAGGCTGGAGTGTAACTGTAAGGAAAATCTGAATTGTTTGTCTGACTCAGTTTTTTCCTCATCACTTCAGAGTATTTCTGGAATTAAGTTGTGCGGCTGAGCTTCTCTCAGAATTATGTTTGTTCCCCATAATCTCATCTGAGCAACAAGTCTGGAGCAGCATGACAACATTTCAACATTTTTTCTTTATTGCTCTGTAATGCTGGCAGTAAGTTTGTGTTTTGTAATTGCTTTTATTGTTAATTTTAAACACAGTCCATATATACATTTATATAATGGCTAACTGATTTTATTGTGTTGGCCATTAATAAAATAGCAACTATCTTCTGAAGCCTTCACATATTTTTGTCTTGTCATCTGGAAGCAACTCGATGAACTCGCCATCTTTTCCCTTTTAATAACCTCAAAAGGAAGGAAAAATACCACACAGTCATTCCCCTCACGATTTGGACCATTTTCCCTGGTGTACCGCACTGGAGCTCAGTACAACAAGGATGTGCATGAAGGCATTTAACCACAGTCCTTAAGACAGCTCAGTTTGGAGGGAATGCATAAGTGGGGAAGCGGAGAGAAGGAAATGGTGAGAACAAAATCCAGACAAAAGAGTTAGAAGATTCTTTCATAACGTAGCGAAGGCGGAAGGACGATCACTGAGCTCTGTGGTTTCTCCTTACCCTCCTGACTGGCTGAGCTATCATGCTCCAGTGCTTGGAGGCTATGAACTGGGCAAAGCCAAAATGTGGGAGGGTGACACGGATCGAAGAAGACAAAGCTTTTGATTTCAAAGTAAGCTAAACCAGTACAGATAAACATGAAATCTTCCATGAGGTTGTTTGTACACAAACCCGCAGTCATGTCAAGTGAAGCTGTTTTACATAGCTTGTTTCCATGTCAGCCTACACAGTGCTGTACAGACAAAATGAGGTAACTACATTTGCCAAGTTTTAAATTGCCAAAAACCATAGGAATGCATAATAATTGTTAAAACTGCTGAATCAAGGTCAAAATCAAGTATTGCAGTAACTGAGTTCTTCTTGAGACATCTGCCTAGCTAGCTAAAGCTTGGCAGTTAAAGCTAAAACTAACATAAATCTAAGGTGCCTGCCCAACACGTGGCACCATAACGGCTTTAGTGCACCCTGGCGTTGTTTCTCCACGCGTCTGGAAGTCTCTCAGAGCAAATGCACGTTTCACCATTCTTCCAAAAGATTTTCCCTCATTTCGTGTTTTGATGATTGTAGTTTTAGAGGATGGTGGAGCTGCCAAACACCAAATCTTCTGTATTTCTATCAATGCTGTGTGCACAGATGTTGTATTTCATTAAATTATGGAGCATAATGAAACAGCAGTTTTTTACTAGTTGAAAAGAAAGCTGAAAGAACATGTGTTCCTTCTCTTTTAGGTATTAGTTTTACTTTGGACTGAAAAAAACTTAAAATAGAAACATTATAAATATACAATTTTTCATCCAGCTTGAAATTTAGTCCATGTTCTCGACTTAACTGCTTCTATAATTCTTCTGATGCAGTGAATAGTGCAGGAGAAGTGGTCTGCATTTGAAAAAGGCATAATAATATTAATAGTTAGGAATAATCTGAGGTTAGTATTACTTTTCTTTGAGTGGGGGCCGCGGTTGTCCCTGCCGTGGTCTGCTTGCGGCTCTCATGCCCTGGAGGGCCTCTGGAGGACTGGGCCCTGAGTCTCCTCCATGCCTGCTTCAGGTCCTGGGGTGCGGGGTTGTGGCTCCACACACCCACTGATAGACACTGGAGAGACCTTAGGAACGCTCACACACCTGTGTACCCACAGGTACACTATCTTGTGCTGCTGCTGGATCTAAAAATATCTTGTATTATTGGTTACTTTTTTTTAAACTCTTTCTTTCTTTCGTTCTTTCGTTCGTTCCTTCCTTCCTTTCTTTCTTTCTTTCTTCCTTCCTTCCTTCCTTCCTTCCTTCCTTCCTTCCTTTCTTTCTTTCTTCCTTCCTTCCCATCTCCCGGTGTTGTCCGTTAGGTTGTAATAACCCAAAATAAAAATGCTAATGAATGCTATCTGACTGTCAAGTGCACAGTTATAGTGAAGGCTGTAATGCTCCACTTTTGGGGCTTTCAGACAACAATTCTGACTCATACTCTCAGACAGGACAAAGGGAAGAAAAGGAAAAACAACAAAAACAAAAAAGCAGGATTATAGATATAAACCGTGCTGTTTTATCGGGTTCTTTGTTTGCATACTGATATCCTGCAAAAATATTTTAAAATATGCAAACAAGGGCAATGTTTTTTATTTATTCATTGACTGGGAAGAGGGTGGATGATCCTTGTCAATCACATGCATTCCCTTTTCTACATCGACATGAAAAATTATGTGAGCCATATGCTTAGTTTGCAGGCCATCCAGCAGGGGATTATAATATTTCATAACCGCTATCATGATGTCAATCCATAACTATGTCAGAGCTCCTGTGTGCCAGCTGACTGGATCATGATATGAACCACATGGTGATCAGATCAGCTGATTGCTACAGTCGCAAGCTCCTAATTCATTTGGTTTGGGAATCCTATTATAATATATATGGCTTTACGTACATAATGCTACAAATCCTGATTGTATATGGTACAAATCGAGGTGATCTCTTTACACAGATTATACTTTAACTCCTTTTTTTTTCTCCTCTCCTAGGACCCCAGCTACTGGGTTCAGGTGAACAGGTTGGAACATGGCGATGGTGGTATTTTGGACCAGGATGATATGCTGTGCGATGTGGTGGATGACAAAGATAGGGTGAGTCGAAGTCGGTGTTAGATTGCGAGAAAGAATATGTTTGCATAGCTGATTGCACATTGTATTTGTTTATTTGCCACACTGTCCTGTTATTCTATCTCTTCTCATTTTCATTCAGCCTTTCCTTGTAGGCAGAAAAAAGTATTATCTGAACTCTAAAATGTTTGTGCATAAAGCCTTGGCCGTACCACAAAAGTTTCACTGACATGTGCTTATGATTACACCTGCCTGCTTTTGCTGTCATCGTTGCTTAAACCTTGCAGTGCAGTAAACTGCTGCACCACCATGTTCTCTGTTTAATCAGTTCAGCCTGTTGGAAGTACTCTGCAGATTTCATATTTGCAGACTGTTTTACATTCAAGGCTCCACTTTGTGTTCAAGGAGGCACTGTATTTTTGTGTTTACTGATATTCAGTGCATCCAGGATGCATTCACTTCTTCCACATTTTGTTCTGTTACAGCCTTATTTACACAATACCCCATACTGACAAAGTGAAAACAAATTGCATGGAATTCTTGCAAATTTATTTAAAAACCAAAACAGGGAAACATGCACAGAAGTATTAACAGCCTTTTCCATAACACTCACATTTGAGCTCAGGTGCATCCTGTGTGCACTGATCACCTATCAGATGTTTCTACAGCTTGTTCAGAGGCCACCTTTGGTAAATTCAGTTGATTGGACATGATTTGGCAGTGTTAGCTATGGAACCTAATGTGTAAAGTCTCATAGTTAAGAGTGCATGTGAGAGCACAAACCAAGCCATGAAGTCCAAGGAATTGTCTATAGGCCAGCAGAAGGACTCCAGGCCAGAGTAGAGAAACTACAGCCTCTGGCCTGATTAAACAAATTGAACTTTTTTTTGCATGAATGCCAAATGTAATGTTTAGAAAGGGAACCTGCTTGATGCCATCTCTACAGTGAAGCATAGTGGTGGCAGCGTCATGCTGTGGGGATGTTATGCAGCAGCAGGATCTGGAAGACTCGTCAGTGTCAAGGGAGAGATCAATGCTGCCGTGATGATAATGTGCTCCAGAGTGCTCTAGACCTCAGACTGGGTGAAGGTTTATCTTACAACAGGACAATGACCCAAAGCACACAGCCAAGATAACAAAGGAGTGGCTTTGGGACCACTCTGAACGTTGAACCCTGTTGAACATCTCTGGAGAGATTTGATGCACCGAAACTCGGGAGGGTCTGCAAAGGAGAATGGAAGAAACTACCCAAAAACAGGTGTGCCAAGCTTGTAGCATCATGTTCAAAGGTGCTTCAAGAAAGTATTGAGCAAAGGCTGTAAATGCTTATGTACTTCTTATTTTACTGTTTCAGTTTTAATATATTTACTAGAATTTCAAGCACAGTGGAACAAGTGAAGCCCTGTGAATTCTTACCGGATGCACTGGGAGATTGTGTGGGCAAAATTTATGAGGCTTTATGACATCACACTACCCACCCCTCCCCACCCACTAGACAAGTGTAAACGATTACCCACAGCCCCACTGCCTCCTTCCCATGGGAACAGTGCTGGCTACACCTGAGTCACTAGCTCTTTGGCTTTAATGTGTGCCATAAAAATCACTACTTTTCAGGTCATTTCAGTTATTAAATGAAATCATATTGCAAGCAGTTGCAGATGGTTAGTAATTTAAAATCATTGAAAATATATTCCAAATCATCGCAAGGGCATTAGTCACCTACTGTTAGTCACTGCAGTTTATCCTGGTGTTGGCATCATGTGGATGATTGATCCGGTGTTCACACCTTTTCAGAGATGTCTTCCACCAAAGCCAACAGGGCCACCACACATTAAAAAGGCAATGAATCATCCAGGTTTCAATTGAACATGTAATCTTTAATTCCTATCTGCTCTGTTTTCTTGCTCTGTCTGATGCCCTGGAGCCAGCGTTATCACTGAAATCTGATACTATATCTTTCTCAGCAACACTGTGTTTTGTCCCCCTGTTTTATGGTAAACGGATCGCTTCCCACAGCAGATACTGTGATGTTGAGCAACTCTGCAAAGCTAGGTGACATAGTTGTTTCTTTCTCTTTGATGTGCGCACTCTTTTTGATCTCGTGTGGACATTTGTGTGAGGATGAGACATGGTGTGTTTCAGGCAGCTATACACCTCTATACACCTGACAATGACTATGTGGTGGGTGCCATGGTTACACATCAGGTGGGATCATTGGGGAGAGCAGCTGTTTTGCACCTGCTGCCTGAAACACTGATTTCTAATTTATTTAATTTTTTTAATTCTTCTCTTATTTTACAACATCTGTGGTATTTGGCTGGAAAAATGCAAAGAAAGAAGAAACAAATGTGGCAGTTCTGTATATATTTTTGACTTTTCAAGAGCCTCAGTTTGTTCTGATGCTGTGATTCCTGCTCCCCCTGGTGGTCATACGGCATAAGTACCTTCTCATTGATGGCAGAATAGAGAAAAGTTACAAAAAAAAGAAAAAAAGAAATTTGCTGACATTTTTAGTTGCCTTGCTGATAATTTTTTTTTATTTATTTTCATGTAACTGTCAGTAGTTAGTTCTAACAGCTTAGCCTGCTCTACACCTGTGGTAGACATTCAGCCTAAAAAGTAAACAGTGACTCTCTGGTCACAAGACCAGCATGCTGTAGTAATACTGTGTTGATAGTTACCAAATGACAGAGTGCAGTGTCAGAAAGTCAGCTGGCAGTCGACTGGAACTGCCAACTTCAAACTGGTGGAACAGCTTTGTTTGAATGACTTTATCTCGGTGCGTGGGTGTTTGCTCCTTTGTGTGTCTGTGTGTGGTTGCAGCTGTAGAGGTAAATCCAGTCTGTCCAGTTCTTTCCCTAATCTACTAACCCTCCTTCTTTTACTGTCTAACCTCCTAACAAGCCCATTTTAACCTGGTAATGACAACACATTCTTGTATGTGTGAATACTTCCAGGGCAGGAAAACGCTTGTGCTGTACAAACGTTAGGTTTTCTCCTGATATATGTGAATGCTGCCGATGTTATAAGCTTCAGCAGAAATTTTCCAGCTGTCACATTGGTGCAGTTCAAACAGGACTATTAGTCAGGAATTTAGGAGATATCACAAATAACCTGCGCCCTTGATAAACATGGTCCTGTCCATTTCAGTCTGTGCATATTCTGGTTAATAGCCCAGGTAGCGTGTCTATAGTGCTGTATCATTGCAGATGAACTGCAAAGTCAAAGTTCAGTGTTTAAAACTGAGTTTAAATGACATAATTTAACTGTAAACCAAACCCTTTTGTTAAGTTCAAGTCTCGAATCATTCTGAAATATGTATAAGAATATTGAACACTATAAACCAACCACACCTGTAGACTCTTGATTGGTTACCGCTGTTTGTTTTTCTCTCAAGAGGACTGATGCTGCTAGTTTTCTCCATGTTTGCTGTTTATAATTTGCTGATGTTCGATTTCTGTGACATGTAAATGCAAAAACTGAATTTTAAAGACGTTATCTTGACACGGGAAATAAAAATAGATTGTCAGAAATAAAATACATGATTTGGAAATGCACTGCTGACAAAGGTGGATGGCCTTTTTTAAATGTCTTAAAATAAATGTTGGGAAAGCAACCTGTAGAATATTCTGGAAGAAAAAAAAAATCCCTGTTGTGTATATAACAGGAAAAATGGGAAATATGTTGCAGATTACCCATGATGGTGATGTCCACCCATTTCTTGAGTAACATGTTTTGGAACATTTCTGATCAGAAAAAGCACGATAATGTCTCTTTATGTAGAGTGGACAATATTAAGATGTCACAACAGCAGAGATTATGTTCCTGCTTATCTTAAATAAATCCAGGCCTTTTCCTGCTAACGGATATAGGTATTAAGTGCATTTGGAAAGCTATGAAAGCGTTATTCATGAAGTTGGTGTGAGGGTTGATCTGTTTGATGGAGTATAGAGTATGGAGTCAGATTTTTGAGCAGTGGAGGGATATGAAGGGCTGACACAGTTTGTCTTTTGAATGTGTTGGATGTTCAGACTTCTAAGCTTTACTTCTTCATCATGTTTGATGCCTTTTTTCCTTGGTTTTCTCATTAAGGCTCATTTTTTGGTGCTTTTTAAGGAAACAATCGATTAGACAGGTTGTATCATAGATATTATTCTGTTGTCTTCATCTGCAAAACATAGAACTGCGTATGTGCATGCATCTACGCGACTGGAATTTCAATGTGAATGTGTGACTAAAGCATGAATGATCTCACTCCTTTCAAGTTTCGGTGGCTCTACTGTTAGGAGCACGTCATGTCCTCCCAACAGTGCTTTGTGTGTGTGTGTGTGTGTGTCTGTGAGTGAGTGAGTGATATCTGGCTCAGGTTCAGCACTCAGATTATCATGCTGTGATTCATGTGCAGTCATAGAGCTGCATGCTGCAGCCTGCCCGTGTCCGCTCCATAGATCTTCATACTGATCAACAGCTTCCACTTCACATGCATGAGGTGTACGAGTGTTTTTGTACAGCTGGGGTGTTTTTGGTTTTGTGTTGCACACATGACCCTGTTGCTGATCTCGGTTTGTTTCAAGTGTGAAGCTGAACTTCATGTCTTCAATTCTTCCTTTAAAAATCATTCTGATACAATGATAGTGACAAGTTGGGGTTATATTTAGATTTTAGATGTTATTAAGATTACTCTATGACTGAAATTTAGGCTGAAGTCAGTAGTCAGATCAGTAATCTACTAACAATATCACTTGTATTTTTGTCTATTACTAATAATCTCTGCTATTGTACTATTATCTAGTATATTGCAGTAAAGCTAACACATTTAGTGGCTCATTTAAAATTAATAGCAGCTTCCACACTGGCTTTTTGGTGCACACTGCCACCACCTGACCGAAGTGTATTATGAGCAGTAGGTTAGCAGCTACAAACCTCATTTTGATATTTCCACTGAAACAAATTAGGATCAGAAGACTGTGTCTTGAAATCACATCCAAACTGTTCATTTGCAGGTGCAAAAAAGCACAAGAAAT